GATCTCAAAGATTTTTTGTAAATGTGTTTTGTGTCACTGTGTATTACTTACTGCTATTCTCTTTTGCCTGTTTACATGGTAGATTGCATGGATATTTTTTTTAGGTTGAACCAGCCTTACCATTAGATTGAACCAGCCTTACCATTACATAGAATAAATCCCACATGGTTACAGCATATACTTTTATACATTATTGGATTTCATTGGTCAATATTTCGTTGAGAAAATTTTCACCTAATTTCCTAAATATTTATCTGGAGGTCGGAGAGAGTACAAGAGATAAGGCCTCACATGCAGCCTACCTCAGTTCCACTCTGTCACCACCTGGTCCTCTGAGCACTGCCAGGAGTCACTTCTGAACAAAGAACTAGGAATAGTCCCTGAGCAAGTGCAAGGGCAGGCCCTTACCTCTGACCCCACAAAGAAATATCTATCTGTGGTTTAGTTTTGCATCAGTCTCCCTCCAGTCTTGTTATAAAAGTAACACCGGCTGTATACAACAAGTTGAAAAGGTGAGTAAGGCTATTGCCTTGCACACAGCCCACTCGGGTTCCATCCTTGACACCCCATATAGTCTCCTGAGCCCTGCCAGAAGTGATCCCTTGAGAGCAGAGCCAGGAGTAAGCCCTGCACACAACCAGATATGGCCCCCAAACAAACAAAACCCAGAAAATAACCCTCTAATATAGCAAGCAGCAGTATTTACAAGAGGGAGGGAGAGACCCTAAATGTTATAGTAAAACTGGCAATTGTCGGGGCTGGAGCAATAGCACAGAGGGTAGGGCGTTTGTCTTGCACGCGGCCAACCTGAGTTCGATTCCCAGCATCCCATATGGTCCCCTGAGCACCGCCAGAGGTAATTCCTTAATTCCTGAGCGCAGAGTCAGGACTAACCCCTGTGCATTGCCGGGTGTGACACCCCCCCAAAAAAAAAACAACCTGGCAATTGTCTCTTTATTAAAAGGTAATGATTAACAAGTGGAAGTGCTCCCAATTAGGATAGAAAAGGGACCAAAGGGACCAGTAAGATAATGATAGTTGAAAACGATCACTCTGGACAAGAACTGAGTACTAAAAGGATTGGTAAATGGATATACCCAGATACCTCTCAGTACCTATATTGCAGGTGGAGAGGGCGATGGGAGGGAAACCGAGAACATTGGTGATAGGAAATGTGCACTGGTGAAGGGATGGGTATTGAAACACTGACTAAAATCCAAACACAAACACCTTGTAACTGTGAAAAAAATTTTAATTAAATAATTAAACAGGAATTTTAAAAAGTCAATGAAAGTCAAGAAATGGAAACACTCAGAAGATGAGGATGGTCGTAAATGTCTGATTCTTTCTGAAAGAATCAGATGTACACAAAACAAAAAGTGCAGTCATTTAAGAATACCGACACTGAGCAACAAATGGTGCATTATTCTTTGATATAAATGGACGGTATAAGTCAAAGCCTATCCATCTATACAAAAGAATTTCTTTGGGGTTGGAGAGCTAGAACAGGTATTCCTGTTTTGTTTTTGGACGGATCAACCACATGTAAGGTTGTACTTTTGCCACATCCCTCCCCAAAATTCCGGTATTAAGGCACTTACCTTGCACATGGATGACTCTGGTTTAATCCCCAGCATCACATATGGCTCCCCAAGCACTACCAGGAGTGATCCCTGAGCACCACAAGGTGTGACCCAAACAACCCCCTGAAAAAATCTTTGACTAGAGCAGTTTAGTTCTAACTTTCAAATCACAAGTCAAGCAGAGCATAATGCTGGTTAAACCATGACCTTTCCTATAATTGCTGACATTGGGGAAAATTATTCAAAGAGCCAATTAAATATATTTTAAAATCAACCAATAGATCTTAATTTATGTGACAAACCAGCCATCTATACATGTTGGGCAATGAAAATCCAGAATAATTCAAACCATACACACTCCAGCTCTTTTTTATTTATTTATTTTTTTGCTTTTTGGATCACACCCAGGGATGCACAGGGGTTCCTCCTGGCTCTGCACTCAGGAATTACTCCTGGCGGTGCTCAGGGGACCATATGGAATGCCAGGATTTGAACCTGGGTCAGCTGAGTGCAAGGCAAACGCCCTACCTGCTGTGCTATCGCTCCAGCCCCCGCACTCCAGCTCTATTAGGATATATATCCCAACTCTTACAGAAAAAGATGGTGAGGTTTAGAGCAAGTCACCTGGCACTCCAAAAGCTTTCAGAACCTATTGAATATAGGTTATATATTAATATATCATAGAATGTGATCCTTGATGATGAAACACTTTAAAGACATAATTTTATTTAAAAATATCTAAATTACCCAATTTATTTTCAAATAGGAATTGATCCATATACTGTCATATGAAAAAGATTTTATAATGTATTATAGTTGACTTCCACTTTAAGATCTTCATGTAAAAACTTCACAGTTTAAGAAAGTGGTTGCAACTAACCAGGAAAGATTAAAAGTCAGCCGGTATTTTAAATAACAAGCTGATTATTTTTGTCATTCCTCCTTGAAAATTTTGGCACAATCATTAAATGACCAGGTTGTATTTTTTAAAGAAATCTGTATCCATTTCTTATCATTCAGTGTATTTTTTAACTTGTACCATCAGTATATTAAACACTTGTGAATAAAATCGTTTAAGAATATACAAGCTTTTCAGTTCGCATATTTAAAACCAACAAGGAAATGGTTTACTCCCAAAGATCTTCATATGTAATTTTCTGTCCGTTACCACAATAGCAGAGTGAAAAACCTTAGAAACCACCCAAAGGAAGGCTTTGCTTTGGAAATAGCCATAAATAAAGAAGGAAAAACTTTCATTTGGGATAGGGGAGAATGGAGTGTTTTATAAGTAAAAACATCAAATTATGTCATTTGTATAAATGTCTCAGCAAGAGAATACATTGAGTCTTTAATATTATGAGAAAAGTGTTATTAGAAAATCTAGTGTAAAGCTAAAAACAGTAGTACATTAAACTTAAAAAAAACTTCACCCATTAACAAAACTGATTATGTTACACAAAATCCAGAATTAAGATATGATGGGTTAGGTAAGAGACCTCCCAACATTTGCTCAGACCCATAAGAAGTCGGGGTACAGCAAGCCCCCACATCTCAGAATTATAGTCACTTGGGGGCCTGACAAGTGCCCTCCCCCGCTTATAAATGTACAGATATGCTAAGTTTTATGTCAGTCTCAGAGAATGAGGTGTTCTAACTCAACCTACATTCCAGATAAACAATTCCCCCATTTAAGTAAAGTTGTTCTTTAACCATTAATATATTGCTTAAATTTTTTTTGTTGTGGAGAAATAGGAGGCTAACACCCAAGTTTGCCCGAGATTAGTACCAGGTTTGCTCCATATAGAGAGTGTTGGGAGGATCCTCCCAGGATGGGAGAAGCATGCTGAAAGTAGACTATAGACCAAACATGATTGCTACTCAATGCCTCTTTTGCAAACCACAACACCCAAAAGGAGAGAGAGAACAAAAGGGAATGCCCTGCCACAGAGGCAGGGTGGGATAGTGGGGACGGGGTGTGGGAGGGATACTGGTATCCGTGGTGGTGGAAAATGGGCACTGGTGGAGGGATGGGTATTTGATCATTGTATAACTGAAATCCAAGCACAAAAATTTGTAAGTCTACAACTGTACCTCATGGTGTTTCACTAATAAAAAAAAAAACTTGTGTAGTTCATGCCCGCTTCATCAGCTTAATCAGTGGCTGAATAAATAGCATGCACTCCTACATTTAAAAAAAATTTTTTTGTGCCACACCTGGCAGTGCTCAGGGATCACTCCTGGTGGCTCTCATGGGACCATATTGGGTGCCGGAGATTGAACTTGGATTGGTCCTATGCAAGGCTACTGTCCTAGCTGCTGTGCTCAGGCCTCGTACAATGTAATCTGGTCTCTAAAATTTCTTTCCGCTGCTCATTTCCCAGTTACCTCTACAGTAGCTGAACTATAACTATTCCCATCTCCTCCGTTGCTGCTCTCCTGGCTGGGCGGCTGGCAGGTGACCAGCAGAGTGAGCACCTGCTCGACACCTCTGTGAATTAAAGCACAATCATTCCCAAAAATATATCAAAGTACAAACAACAATGTGCTCCTATACAAATGCAAAGGATCGTTACACTAAGTCCATGTTGATTTTTTTTTAAATAAAATCCAAATTGAGATTTTTTTTAAAATAAAATATATGTTCTTGTGGTTGACCCAGTTTTAATCCTCAGCACTGCCTATGGTCCCCAAGCACCGCCAGAAGTGATCCCTGAGCACACAGCCAGAACTAAGCCCTGAGCACCACCAGGTGTGGCCCCCAAAACAACCCCAAATATATGCTTTTTGACAAGACAAACGAATTTTGAGTTCTCATTCTCCTGTGCCCTCACCTCCCTCTTCTCATCATGCTTCCAACTGCACCAGACCTGTGCTATGGGTTAGCCCTCTAGATTTTACAGATCTATCTCACCATTCCATAGGTGAAAACTTAACCTGAAGCTCTGTTCCATTAGCAGATGTGGTATCGTCTTCGCTCACTTAAAGAAAGGTTCCTGATGTGGGTGAGGCACCACATTCACCTGGGAAGCAGCGCTAAAAAGTTGAGGTTTCTGAGCTGGGATGTAGAGAGCCTGACGAGCCATTGGGAGGAGGGTCTTGGACAAACTGTCCTGGGGACCTATGGAGATGGATGATTCCAACGGAAGGATGAACTGCTTCACCCTCACTATCCTCTCTGAAAGGCTACAGCTGCTCATCTGTTTTTATTATTTCCTTTTTCATGAACCATAAGCATATCCATTGCAGTCTGCCCAAATCCAGACCGACAGGGGGACTATTATTATATCCCCAGCAATGAAAATTTTAAAAACGAACCATTACTTTCATAGCAAAGACAATACATGTAGAAGCTGACAGGGGTTAGCTGTGTACATTCTATACCTACAGGGCAGAACTTTTTTCTGCTTTCCTTTCATTTTTCTTCACTTATAAACCTAAAAACCCTCTTTCTGGGGCCAGGTGGGACTCAGGCTGTGAGGATCATTTGAGCATGTGCAGGTGGCCCCGGGTTTTAATTCAGGGCTTTGCACTTGCAAGAAGTCACTAACCCCTCTCTCTGGGCTGAAGACCCTCTTTTCATAGCTGCTGTGACTCAAAACTAGATGGCAGATCTCATCCGAAAACTAGACCAAGGGCTGACGAGGCAATCAGTGTTATTAAAGAAAATGCTTCTGAAGGACAGACATAAATAAAAAGTATTTTGAAATAGTTTTTCTTTCTTTTCTTTTTCTTTTTTTAAATTTTATTTTTTTGGGGCTGGAGCGATAGCACAACGGGTAGGGCATTTGCCTTGCACGTGGCCGATCTGACGGGTCCGGGTTCAATTCCTCTGCCCGTCTTGGAGAGCCTAGCAAGCGACTGAGAGTATCTCACCTGCATGGCAAAGTCTGGCAAGCTACCTGTGATGTATTCGATATGCCAAACACAGTAACAACAAGTCTCACAATGGAGACGTTACTGGGCCCACTCGAGCAAACTGATGAACGATGGAAGGACAGTGACAGTGATTTTTTGGGCCATATCTGGTGATACTCAGGGGTTACCTCTAGTGGTGCTTGGGGAACCACATGAGATGCCAGGGACTGAACCTGGGTTTGGCTGCGTGCAAGGCAAGCGCCCCTACCCATTGTACTATTGCTCCTGCCCCAAAACATCAATTTCTTGTTGAAATCCAAAAAACTGATTTCCATATTCCTAATGTTCCCCCATCATACAGAGGAAATCTGACCCAAACTGCATTCAATTAACTGAGAACATGCAAGTCAAAGAGGCATGGTTCCATCCTTTAGGAAAATCCCCATTGCAGGGGATTTTCTGTCCGTTGATTCTGCTCAAATAGTTCACAGTGATAGCGACAGGTGAAGAATTTGGTCCAATGTGGTTCCAACTCAGTCTGGATGCAACAGACTGGATCGCGATGCCACTTGAGGATTTTCTGGGTCTCTAGGCGCTGCGAAAGGTGGTCATGTCCTTCGGCTCCCTGCTGGGGACACACCAGTCGTCAGCCTCGTGGTTGGTATTGTAATGCTTCCAGGCTGCCTTGTTGTACACCGGGAGCCTCTCTACGGACTCCGTGGACAGCGCCTGCAAGAAAACACAGCACCTCAGTCCAGCGACTTTTAGAACCCGTGATTTGAGAAATATGCAACAGCAAAAAGAGTTACTACAAATTAAACAAGACTGCCTTGGACTGGGATTCATTAATCACAAATGTTCTTTTACATTTTAAACCCATGTGTATCTTTGAACTATGTTATTTATGAGGTCTGTGACATTATTTGTATTTGGTGCACATGTCAAGTTTAGGGCCTACAGGAATTTTCCATTCAGCCTGGAAGCCACTGGAATGAAATTTTACTCAGAAGTAATAATTGCCCCTTATAAAACATGACCTATGAGGTGGTTTTCAAAAAGGATCAGTTCACTAAGACAATGATGGTTGGAGGAATCGTCCAAGATGGGAGATATGTGTGGAAAGTAGATCAAAGACCAAATGTGATAACCTCTCAGTATCAGTACTGCAAACCATAATGCCCAAAAGTAGAGCGAGAGTATCGGGGAAATTGTCTGCCACAGAGGCAGGGGGAGGGTTGCAAAGCGAGGCATACACTGGGGACATTGGTGGTGGAGAATGTGCACTGGTGGAGGGATATATGTTTGATCATTGTATGACTCAAACTCAAACACGAAAGCATTGTAACTGTATCTCATGATGATTCGATTAAAAAAGGGATCAGTTAAATATAAAAGCATAAAAATCACATATGCACAGCTAATGTAGTTTTACAGTCGTTAAATTTAATCTAATGATTAGAATACTAATTTTTTGGTTTAGTCATTATACTTTTAAAAACTTCGTAACAGTATTATCATCAAAAGGTATGAAGCTCTGTCCAAGACATCTTGGCTTCTCTTGGCTGGGTTTGATTGTGTTATCTGCTCCCCCTTTCATTAAAGCTCCTAATGTCAGAGCAAAGATAATTTTTACATCAAACTTCAAGCTTTCAACATTCATATTGTCAACACATTGTTACCACTAATTTATAATTCCACTTCAGTTTCCCTTAAATTACTGCAACCTGAAATTAAACTATGTACCTCCTTATCTTTTTGAAATTAAGATACTTCAACAAACTTTCAACCAGAAGCCACAAGTATTCTTAAAGATGAAGAAAATATTAAACTGGAAAATTTATTTCAATAGTGACTAAGGTCCTTGCTATTTGTTTGTTTGTTTTGGTTTGGGGCCACACCTGTTGGTATTCAGGGTTTACTCCTGCGCTTGTCACTCAGGAATCACTCCTGGCGGGAACCAGATTGGGTGCTGGGGATTGAACTCAGGTCAGCTGTGTGTAAAGTAAGCACTCTGCTCACTGTACTATCACTCTGCCCCAACTTTTTCTTTTTTTTCTTTTTGGGTCACACCTGGCAATGCACAGGGGTTACTCCTGGCTTTTACACTCAGGAATTACTCCTGGCGGTGCTCAGGGGACCATATGGGATGCTAGGAATTGAACCAAGGTTGGCCACGTGCAAGGCAAACGCCTCTGGCCCTACTTTTTAAGCTTCTAACAATTTATGTGACTAAAAGGTGGAGAGGAATGAGCCAGAGAGACGATATAGGGATTAAGATGGCGGCCTTGCTCGAAGCTATCAAAGTTCAATCCCCACTACCATCCACAGTCCTCCAAGCACTTCTAAAAGTGACCCCTGAGGATGCAACAAGAAGTAAGCTCTGAGCACCTCTGCAGTGGCCTTAAAACAGGGAAGGGAAAAAGAAAAGAAAAGAACTAGTATCTTAAGGAAATCTAACTTCGGGGCTGGAGCGATAGCACAGCGGGTAGGGCATTTGCCTTGCACGCGGCTGACCCGGGTTTGATTCCCAGCATCCCATATGGCCCCCTGAGCACTGCCAGGAGTAATTCTTGAGTGCAGAGCCAGGAGTAATCCCTGTGCATTGCTGGGTGTGACCCAAAAAGGAAAAAAAAAAAAGAGAAGAAATTGAAATTCATATTTTTTTTCCCTAACAAAAAGTCTTGAGCATTTCCTATAGAATGGGCGCCATCTAGTGGCCACAACAAGAAACTGAAAGTCACGAAATAATGAGCTCACTATTCCAGGGTCTTCATGGAATGGCCAGTGCTGGCCATTCCTGTAAAATGTGCCGACCCTCCACAGAACACAGACCATCCCGGTCCAGTGGGCTAAGTGCTTCTGCTTCCTCCGAGTGCATTCCGTGCTGACTGACAGTTGTGTTGGTTTGCTTCCAAGACTGTCTACGACTTTACATCTGCACGGACCTGGTCAAAAGGGGTGGTAGCTCTGAAGATAGAGATGAATACTCCTAAAGGAAAGTCACGTAAAAGCTGTTCCCAAACCAGAGTGAAAGACATCTCTGAAGGACTCCATAAAAATCCCAAAGGGGACACACAGCACCAGAGAAGAAAGGCCACTGGGAGGCTCCACAGCTCCTGGAGAATGCTCCAGGTTCCAAACAGAGCTGAGATCACCGGGAAGTCCCAGATAGGGTAGGTGCCGCATCCCGCCTTCTCCAGATGGAACCCCGGTGACCAGGAGCCTCTGCAAGCATAGCTCGGGCATGCGGGAACATCTCCTTATATACAAAGTGATCAATGGAAAGCAAATCATCCAACGTTTCTCCCTGAAAATCAGACTTAACTGTTTTACAAACCACAACACCCAATAGGAGAGAGAGAACAAAATGGAATGCTCTGCCACAGAGGCGGGGTGGGATGGGGGGAAGGGGGGTGGGAGGAATACTGGGATCCATGGTGGTGGGAAATGGTCACTGGTGGAGGGATGGGTATTCAAAATAAATAAATAAAAATTAAAAAAAAATCCCAAAGGGCTGTGCACTTTGTTGTGGCTCTGTTCAGAGAGGTCAGATGATTTGTCATAAGCTGCAGTTTTATAGAAAAGACAATTAAAATTCAGACAACAGATGTACATCTAAAGAACAGGCCCTGCCCTTACACGAAAAGCTTGGTGGACCAAGTGTTCTGTGTTGAGAGACAGAACCTTTTTTTTTTTATGATTTCCTGCTTAAATCCATTTTTTCCCCTATTAATACACCAGAGTCATGGTCATTTGGATTAAGATCATTTCTCTCCTTATAATCAAGGAACTCATTTGTCAAAACAGCTGAGATCCTGTGGAAAACTGTAATATTCTTAAAGTTTAACAGCATGAGGCAGAGCACAATTTCATTACAGTTAAATGCTGGCGGCTTTACTTATCATCAGAAGAAGTATCATTAGGTGCGGAAGATGACAGTCACCGCTATTACCTTAATGTAGATAATGGCGTTAGTCCCGTAGCCCTCCAGGGAATACAGCTTTAGGTCTCCTTGGAAGTACTGGGCATAGAGACGAGAGATGGGCAGTCCATAGCCAAAACCAGCCTGTTGGAGAAGAATGAGTTCCATCAACAAAGTCACACACTGGATTTCTGAGTTAAAACCAATGCTACTGATTATCCCTGGGTGCTTCCAGGTGAGGCATCTATAATTCACTTAGGGCTGAAGTGATAGCATAGCAGGCGGGCATTTGCCTTGCACGCGACCAACCCAGGTTCAATCCCCGCAGCATCCCATATGGTCCCCCCAGCACCTCCAGGAGTAATTCCTGAGTGCAGAGCCAGTACTAAGCCCTGAGAACTGCCCGATGAGAGAGAAAAAAAAATTAAAGACAAAAAAATAAATAAAATTCACTTGAGTTGTGTTGTTAGTTTGTTTGGGGGCCACACCCAGAGAAGTTCAGGGCTTACTCTTGGCTCTGCACTCAGGAATCACTCCTGGTGTTCAGAGGATCATATGGGCTGCCAGGGATCGAACCCAGGTTGGCCAGGTGCAAGGCAAGTGCCCTAAATGCTCTAGTATTGCTCCTGTCCTCAGCTCAGGGTTAATAACGAGGATGCTGAAGCATACTTAAGGCTCCATTAGATGACTCCCCTGACTGGTTCAAACTGCGCATTCCTCTCCTCCTAACACATCATTTGGAAGCTCCCTATAAAATACCATGAGGAGGTCTGGAATAGGAACGTGGCTTTTCCTCACTACTGCTTTCCATCATGCCAAGCATCCAATACTCCCTCAGGCAGTGCCCAGGAAGCACCTTCTCCTCTGAGGCAGCCTAATCTGTACTTTATGAGTTCAAGTCAGGCATTTCCGGTCGGGGATCTGAGATCCGTATCAGATCTGCTTACAGGATTCTCACGGAGAGGCTGCAACCCTTCATAAAACCCTCCAAAGGGCCATCCAACACCCCCCTTTCCCCAACCCACTGCCTTAAATCTGGAAATGCAGACTTCCCGAAAGAGCTTAAGGACCCAGCAAGGCGGGTCACCATGCCCACTTTCTGGCCCAGCAGGAGGAAATTTCTCAAACAGACTGTGCTGTTTCTCACCTCTGAGTGGCTTCCTCAATGGATGGGTCTCACTGATTTTTTCAAATTCAGAGCCAGGACAAAAACCAACTGAGGTTCCATGACACTGCCCACCACGCTCTAGGGCTGTGGCTTAGAGTGTGTATGCATTTGGGAAGTCGAGTGCCAAGCAAACCAGCTTTATTCCAGTGAACCAACTCATGCTTCAACTTTACCGGGTCGCCCACGTATGGCTACCCGCTCTCCAACCAAGAGGCAGCTTACCCCTCTCAATTGCGGTTTCTCCCTGCCTTTGGGGAGGTTGACCTGAATGGACAATCAACAGAGCTCATGTCCTCGGCTCCCATAGGTTGGTCCCAGGGGGAGGTAGGAGGGATGTGAGGGAGAGAACCAGGGTCTTCACCCTCTGCCCCATTCCCTCAAGTCACTTCCCCAGGCCAGGCTGGTAGTCTGTCTCTCTGTTCTCTCTGTCAGAGCTGTCTCTCTCTCTCTCTCTCTCTCTCTCTCTCTCTCTCTCTCTCTTTCTCTCTCTTTGCGCTGTCTCTCTCTCTGCGCGCTGTCTCTCTCTCTGCGCTCTCTCTCTCTCTTCCCCCTGGTCCTGCTTATCATGTTGACACCAGTACAAGCTGGTAGTCTGTCTCTGTCTCTCTGTCCCCTCCCCCCCCCCCTCTCTTTACCCCCTGTGGCTCCCACTGTATGTGGTTTAATGAGCACAAATCACAGCACCATTGTCACAAAAGTGTCACAAAAGCTATGGCTCTGGCTCTTCCTCTTCCTCCTCCCCACTTTGGACTCAGGAGGAACCAGCACTACAGCTCCTGGTCCTGGACTCCACACTGTCCCTCCCAGTCCCTCCATGATTCATCTCTTGGCTCTCATGGTCAGTCAGTCTTGTCTGAACACTCGCAACTCCGGTGCCCTCCTTCCTGCCGAGATTCTGACCAATACCTTCATTAGCTCAGGAAATGGCCCTGGGAAGGCTGCGTGAGTAGAGGACTCAGGATCCCAGAGCACCCAATCTGGTTTCTCATGGCCTCTCCCTCCCTCCAGACTCCTGCCTCCCCTCTGTCCCCACAGTGGACAGAGATGGGGGCCAGCACAGAAGCCAGTTCACAGCTGGGTGGACACGGAGGGATTGCTCTCACTACACCTCACATGGAGGGAGGCCCAACAGATGGGTGTAGAAGTAAATGCCACCAGGGAGCAGAACCTGAGGTGGCCACAGGCAGGTTGGAACCCCAGGGCTGTGGACAGAGCGGTCAGGGAATGAGAGAACAGAACCAGAGCACAGACACGACGACCACTAGCATGAAGAGAGAGCAGAAGCGGGGATTGCAGCGATAAGACAGCAGGTAGGACGTTTGCCTTGCATGTGGCAACCTGGGTTCGATTCCCAGCATCCCATGTGGTCCGCCTAGCCCCACCAGGAGTAATTCCCGAGTGCAGAACCAGAAGTAAGCTCTGAGCATTGTCGAATGTGACAACAAAAAAAAGAAAGGAGGAAGGGGGGAAGGAGAGAGAGAGAGAGAGAGAGAGAGAGAGAGAGAGAGAGAGAGAGAGAGAGAGCGCACAGAGGGTGGTCCTCTCCGAGAGGCAGATAGGGAGATAGGGAGTAGGGGGTATGACTGATCTGTCCAGGGCGGGGGCAGTGGCCGTGGACAAGAGGAGCACTCCCTTTGCAGCTGCCCCAGGGAGGCCACTTACCAAGGGTGCTGGGCACCCATCAGGAAGGAGGTTCCTGTGAGCCTGCTCACAAACCATCCCTCCATCAACACCCATGGCTCTAGAGGGAAGTTTATAAAACTTCACTTGAATTGCGTGTCCTGAGTATCAGACACTTGACGTAGCATTTATGCTGCACCAGGGACCAGCAAGAGCATTTTGCATGAATGAACTCAATCCTCCTAACAGCTTCATTTTTAAAGTAGGCCCCGAGTTCAATCCCCAGCACCACCTGCCCCCACATCAGCACCACTGGGGGTGGCCCCAGTAGCCTCCAGCACTGCTGCTTCTGGGTCCCAAAGCCCTCAGGTCCAAATTATCACCCAAAGCGACACCCCACGGCTCCCTGGCAAACCCACAAAAACAGATGAGCAAGATCAATTGAAAACAGTATCCAAATCATCGTAAGTTGAGTCATTTCTAATATGGTCACTGTCCTGTTGTTCATCAATTTGCTCAAGCGGGCCCAGTAACATTGTGAGACTTGTTACTGTGTTTGGCATATCGAATACATCACGGGTAGTTTGCCAGGCTTTGCTGTACGGGCGAGATACTCCCGGTAGCTTGCCAGGCTCTCCAAGAGGGGCAGAGGAATTGAAGGTGGAGGATTAGAACTCGGGTTGGCCAGGTCGGCCACATGCAAGCCAAATGCCCTACCTGCTGTGCTACACTCCAGCCCTCCAATTTGGTAAATGGATCGAAACTCATTTCTGAATCTAGAATCTGAGCTCTTTCCAGTTAAAAGTATTTAGTGTGTGTGTGTGTGTGTGTGTGTGTGTGTTGGGGGGCGGGGTGTCCAGGAACCCAACAGTGAAGATAGTGAAGATAAAATCAATGTTGACCCAATACTGGTAAAATGTGTTACTTGGGCATCACATTAGAACCTATTGAACCATGGTGTATTTCATGAAAACCCCTGACAGGTCACTCATACGCTTGGCAAGAAGGGCTCTAAGGTAACACTCTTTGTCTTGTGCTATTTCCACTGAAAATAAGCACACAAACCTCCAACAGACCAGGGAGATGGTTCCCAGCATAGCCCAAAAACTCAGTCCAAGACATTTAGAATGAAGAGGAGAGGCATCTGTTCCAATAGCTTCTGTCCTGCCCCTGTGGTACAGTCTGCCCAGTGGCTGAGCTGATTTACTTAATAAACAACTATTTTTTTCTTTTTGACAAGTCACAAAAACATACTCTTCATTATTTTGCTTTCAACCACACTCAGTGGTGCTCAGGGCTGACTCCTGGCCCTGCACTGAGGGATCACTCCTGGTGGTGCTCAGAGGACCCTATGGGATGCTGAAGATGGAATCCAGGTCAGCCCATGTGCCAGGCAAACACCTGTGCTATGGCTCTGGCCCTTCGTCATTTCTTGGTCATACATACCAGGGGCGCGGCTCGGGACGTCTCGACACGAGGCCGGGGCGCTGTGGAGTACATGTAGTTGAAGAGTCTGTCGATCTTCCTCAGAGGAACACCACCTCCTCGGTCACTCATCTACGAGGAGAAAACGAGTAGGTCCTATGACCAAGCGCCACACACAGCAACACACCGACACAGAGCGGCAGGTCACCTCGGCATGCTGGCCAAGGGCTGCTTCTCCACACCAACAGCCCCAGGGCCAGGTGCGAATGTAGGCAATGCCCCTGGAGGGCAGGGCTGGGGGATTGGGGGTTGAGGGACAACTCCTGTGGTATGTGGAGTCCACACAGAACAGAGACACCTTCACCGCCTCACTCCAGCACCCAGACTGTTGACTAAGTCATGCAAACAATGAGGAGCACTGCAGAGTGGTGCATTACGAAGACTCGAGGGAGCACCAATGCATTTGTTATTCCTTACCAGGGCCCAGTTTGGCAACTGGATTAAAAATGGATTTACCCTTTGAACCAACACTGTATATCTTTTTTGGCTTTTTGTGGGTTTTTTTTTTTTTTTTTTTTTTTTTTTTTTTTTGCTTTCTGGGTCATACCTGGCTCTGCACTTAGGAATTACTCCTGGTGGTGCTCAGGGGACCATATGGGATGCTGGGAATTGAACCCGGGTTGGCAGCGTGCAAGGCAAACACCCTACCCGCCATGCTATCACTCTAGCCCCAACATTATATATCTTAATCAGAAAAGTATGCAAAGAAACCACAGTTCCTAGAAAGAAAGAGAAGAAAAGTGTCTGCCATACAGGCAGGGTGTGGGGATGGGGGTGGGTGGGTGGGCGGGAGGGTCACTGGGGACACTAGTGGTGGTGGGAAATGTACACTGGTGAAGGGATGGGTGTTAAAACATTGTATGATAAAACCCAATTCTGAACAACTTTGTAACTTTGTATCTCACGGTGATTCAATTTTTTTAAAAAAAAAGCATGCAAAGACTGTATGAGACTATCCATTTCAGTTCTTTTGGGAATGACGAAAATGGAATTAAACCCAAACAAGGGACTATTTAAGGCAAACTAACAGACTTTCAAAAAATGGTACTAGCAAGAGTGATGTTCACAAAATACTGGTAAGAGGCTGGAAGCACTCATAAGATTCAAAGGACTTTTAATTATTATTAACAATACCTTTAATGATATTTTTACATGGTGCCAAGGATGGACTCCAGGGCCTCATCTGAGAAAGGCAAGCAGGCGCCTGCTGAACTGGGCCCTAAAATTTTATCATTTATGGGATTATAGGTGATTTTTCTTATGATAGGAAAAAAAGTATAATTTTCATTTTCAGGGAGGAAAAAGCATAATCATTCCTCTGTGTTTTAGAGTCTCACTTATAAACAATCTCACAGAAAAAAAATCTTAGGTAACTTCTTTGTGAGTTTATAAGTATACAGATCCTTCTAGTATTTCTCTATCATTTCCCCCAAGTTAAATTTTTTTGTTGTTTGTTTTTGTTTTTGGAACACACCCAGAGCTGGGGCTCACACTCAGGTCTCCTGCATGCAAAGCATGTGCTCTATCTAGCCTTCTGAACCATCTCTCTGGCTTAAAACTCAAATCTCATGGTAGACTGAGGTTAGCAATTTTACAGATTATTTTCAGTGTTTTCCTTCACAGTTACCTCAGATTGTATTTTCCTTGCTATTGCATACCTTATCCTCTTAACTGCTACAGACATTTCTTGTCACAAAATCGTAACAACAAATTTGTTATATATAAACAAAAATAATATGTAAAGTAATATATAGATAAAAATAATACTGAATGATAGGTATTAATGTCAATGGTTGGAGAGGAGATGATAGAGAGTTTAGAGCACATGTCTGGCATGTGCCAGACCCAGATTCCATTTCCAGCACCACATGGTCCCCTGAGCATCCCCAGGTGCAGAGCTGGAGGGGTCCTTGAGCACACCAGGCTCGAGCAGCGTTGGATCTTTGCACTGAACTGACGGTCAAGCAGCTGTCCAAGAAATCACTGGTGGGGTCCCTGGTCTCAGCACTGCTAGGGATACACACACACACACACACACACACACACACACCACTGAAAAGTCAACGGGTGAAGTGGGGATAGTTCATTGACAAGACACCTACCTGCCTGAAAAGTATGAGGCTGTGAGCCCTGGGCCCAGCTGTGCCACATATTGTCCAGGGCACACCTGGCAGCACAGCTGCTGCCATCCCAGTGACACAGTACACGCGAAAACCGTAAGCAAAGTATATATATGATCCCGGACCAAGGAAACAGCATGGGGGTGAAGCAGACTTGCCTTGCATGGGGCCAACTCTGGTTCCTCCCTGCTACACACAAATCGTCCCCAAGCACTGCCAGGAGTGGCCCAAACACACACTCACCCTGAAATCACACCAATTATGTGATCCCTGTCACACAGTACAGCAAAGTGTGTGAACAACCACAAACAAGCATGGCCCTCCCCCAGCGACAAAGGGAAGAGAGTAGGGCAAGTTAAGTCATGGATGGGTTAGGGCTGAGATACTAGATAGTCTTTAGGTACACGCAGGTGTATTTCTTTCATGATGGAAGTTATTACAGAGCTATTTGCATTTTTAAAATAAAACATCTATTTTGGAATACTATATGAAAGACTTTTGCCCTTGATACAGCTACAAATGATATTGCTACAATGATATGGCTACAAAGATTAAACACAGACAAGGACTATATTAAGAATGTGCGTGTAGCTCTGAATTCAAAGCCCTCGAAAGAGGCTTCCTTTAGGAAGAGAAGAGCCCTGAGTATCTTCTGCAATCCACCCATTCGTTAATTATTCATCCTTTAGTTTAATGCTCTGCTGCACATTTACTGGTAATATGAGTGAGACACACTGGGGGCTCGATAAAAAGAAAGTCTCCTAATATTCGGATAGACAAATAAAAGAGGCAGATTTTGCAAAAACACGTCCTTCATCTTTCGGCCTGAAAGTCTCAGGCAATCAAGCAGTCTCCAGCCTCCAGTCTCCAGCCACAGGCCAGCCTGAGCCAAGGCGAGGTGGATGAGAAAAAGGCTCACGAGGTGACTGTAGGAGACAAATCTCATTAGCAGGGACAAGGTCAAGCAAAGTCACAGAAGCACAGTTACCGAAGTCTGACAGGGGCTGGAGCAATAGCACAGTGGGTAAGGCGTTTGCCTTGTACACGGTCGACCCAGGTTCGATTCCCAGCATCCCATATGGTCCCTTGAGCATCGCCAGGAGTAATTCCTGAGTGCATGAGCCAGGAGTGATCCCTGTGCATTGCTGGGTGTGACCCAAAAAGGAAAAAAAAAAAAAAAAGAAAGTCTGCCAGACAGGCTAAAACACAATAAACTCAAACCCACAGCTTTTCTCAGGGGTTGAGTTTCGGACCCCTGAGGACCCAGCAGTATTCCTGGGAAGAGCACAGAAAGCTGCAAGTGACACGCATGGTTCCTCTCTAGGGAAGACAGGGAGAACGGATGGCAGCACAGGTGTGGTGCGTTGACTAAGAAGGAAACATTAAAATCAGACACAAAGGAAGACAAAACGAACCTCGGCACAACACATGCCTCTGCCAAGGAAAAGGAGAGTGATAAGGTGAGGGGTGGTGCAGTCACTGTCCTCAGGCAGGGGGAGGAGAGAAGACTGTCATTTCTAGGGCTCTCCTCGAACCCTTCTCAGGGTCAGTGAATCAGGAGTTGCCCTTGCCCGACTTCCTGATTCCTTTTGCGTGCGTGCGCGCACACACACACACAGTGCTCCCCAAGCCCCTTACCCAACAGCTCTACAGTCTGTAAAAACCATCCAACAGTGAACACACCAAGGCACTTGCATTTTAATTTTAAAGATAGGTCTCTATGTTACGTGTTACTTGCTGACTATAGATGAACCACTAAAGCTGCTAGAGCTATAAGGCAGAAGAAAATTTCTTTCACTGGATTCTTGGGGGAAAGGCCAAAATATGCTGAAAGCATCAGAGCAGGGTGTAAGGGATGTGGCTCTGGAAAGAGGAACTTTCTTCTGCTGTGTGGCACTGCGTGCAGGCATGAGTGCGCTCCCCCACCCACACTTTCTCCCTCCCCCTCTCTCTTTCCCTCCCTTATTCCCACAGAAGTCTAGCGTGAGCAACGTTCTCCATGAGAACTCTACAGATGAGAATTAATGAAAGTGGGGTTTTTTTTGGGGGGTGGGCGTTCAGGGGGAAGGTCATAGGAGGTATCAGGACTCAAATCCAAGTTGGCCATGTGCAAGGCGAACACCCTACCTGCTGGACCATTGCTCCAGCCCCAACAAAAGTGCTTTTAACAAGCAAAAAGACAAAGGTAGATGCAGATGTGTGTGATGTGTAGAAGGACAGCAATAGCAGAGACAGATACTCACTGTGACCTCTAGAAGGTCTCACAGACCTTTTGAGCCTTTGCTCTTCTGTTTTATGAACAGCCCCTAGGCACCTGGTATCATCCTATTCCCCAAGGATCACTAGGTTTGGCTTCTAACCCCAGAGGCAAACCCAAGCACAAAAAAAATTGTAAATCTACAACTGTACCTCATGGTGTTTCACTAAAAATAATTAAAAAAAAAAAAAAAGAGTGGCCCATGAGAACAGAGTCAGGTGTGCCAACCCCCCGCCCAAAATAATGTGACTTCTAACCACAGAGGCAAGAGTGGCCCATGAGGATAGAGCCAGGTGTGCCCATCCCCACAAAATAAAGATGGGGTGGGAAACATAAAGTAACAAAATAGGAGACTAACAGCCAAGAATGGCAGAGATTAGTAACAAGAGTTTCACTCCATGGCTTGTAGGCCAGCCACACACTCCAGGGGAAAAGGCAGCTCAGATAGAGAAGGGAGCACCAAATGAAGGGTGTTGAGAGGATCCTCCCAGGATGGGAGATGCATGCTGAAAGTAGACTACAGACCGAATATGATTGCCACTCAATGCCTGTTTTGCAAACGACAACACCCAAAAGGAGAGAGAGAACAAAAGGAAATGCCCTGCCACAGAGGCAGGGTGGGATGGGAGGTTTGGGGGGGGTGGGAGGGATACTGGGATCAGTGGTGGTAGAGAATGGGCACTGGTGGAGGGATG